TAAAAGCTTGGTTAAATTATCCGGCTTCTTGAAGAACTAGTTTATTCAAGTATTCTTTATGCAAAGATCGTAATATGGCCTAAAGTAAGAACACTTAATCAAATAAAGTTGGAATAAATAGGAAATTTAACTAAGCTCTAGCAACAAATATTGTATTACTGATGACTACTCGATATTGTTGAACAACAGAAAAGGCTTCATACATAAAAGCACAAACGAAATGGATTCAAGATTATTAAAAAATCGGACTCACCCATATTTCTTGCTGGTATCGATGTCAATGGAGTTGATAACGAAGGTCCAGGGGGCGGGAGTGACTGTGTCGAACCCATTTGTCCGATGGGCATAGGCACTCCCAATCCGTCTGCCTGGCAGCCCAACAGATGCCTGGGAGAGCCAGCAATGATGCAGGACTGTGCGTGCAGTCCTGGTTGATATTGATTTGGTCCGGGCGAATACGCATAAACTTGAGAAGATAATGATGAATAGTGAGGATTTGTAGGATAGCCAACCGGAAAATCTGATGTAAGTGGAACGAATCAGGAGTGCAAAAGCAACACTTAGGCTTAATTTACAACAGCAAATGGATGAAAACCAAACCACAGTAGACAGTTTATTAGAGATATTTTGATAGGATACTAGAAAGAGAACATAAATGCATACAAAATCGCTAAATCACCAGAATAATGCAAGTATCATCGTTTGTATGGTTAAAAGTTAGAAAATATTTTCTAAACCCCTTGATTTCTTGAAATATATAACTCCGAAATTATACCCTGAGCCACTCGGGTTCGATTATTGTTGTAGGTACCGATGAAACCCAAGCGAGATCGAAACTGCAGCCCGCCCTGGACGAGAATGCCCCTGTGGAAGCGAGACTAAGTAAAATTCATTGTGGGCATATTAATAGCATTATGAAAAAAATCAACTACTAGCCCATAATCATTTCGCGAGATCTAAAATAAAAACAGCTTTTATTTAATATTTACCGGTATTTTATAAAGTTATTCAATCTGAATACAATTCATATATCAAAAATTTATTTCCACTTCGGGACTAAGTAATAGACAGAGATAGAGCCAATAAGCAAAACCTATGACGTGGCAAAATCAAATGTTCCAAAGAGCTACAGAAAAGAGAAGTAGTAGCAGCATCTCCATGCATAAGAGCGTTTAGGCCAGCATACTAACTTTGCCTTAGATGTGGTCTGACCTCGTTTTCGCAACTTGGTCGTGTTATCAGGACGACTTAGGTTGAGATACCTTGTCCGAAGCCTTATGTTATAATAGTTATTATACTTCCAAGCGTTAGGCAGTGGACTAGATACATTATCAGACGTTTCGCCGGCATCTTCGGTGAGTCTTGCCATTCTCAGCCTCAAGCTACAACTCGTAAAAGAGACAAGAGTAGAATGCAAATAAATCCGAAGTTGTGATAGGGCGAGGGGTAAGAGGGTAGGAAGTAGATAGATGAGCCAGGGCAGAAAGAAGTGATAACACGACCATTCGGCAGAATGTTTAGTCAAGGGATTGACTTCACTTGTCTCTTTGAAGAGTTCATAGCTTGGTGCGGAGAATGGCAACACTCTCCAATGATGCCGACTACGATGCCGGTGAAAGATCTGTGAATGTACCAAGTCCACTGTCTGATACTGGCAATTATGATAACTACTATAGGAGAGGACTTCGGACAAGGTGCATTCGACTAAATCGCCTGACAATAAGACCAAGTTGTGAAAACGAGGTCAGACCATACCTATACATTGAAAGGAGGCTGCGACCAAAATAGAGGTCACATCTTGGTATTCATATCTAACTTTGCCTTAATAATGCGAATGTGGATCCTATTATAAGATAAAAAAGCAATAAAAATTCAGTTATAATGTCACCAAAAAGTCGTCTTCATGAAAAATTTGATCAGGACTAAGAGATGGTGAAATAATTTGCAAAAAAAGTTGTCGTGGGGATAAGCATTTACGAAAGCATTACGTACCTGCTGGGCCCATTGAGGTCGCGTAGAGATGTGGCTGAGGATAGACCTGCTGTAGGGAGCCGGGCTGCAGTTGTTGTTGTTGGAGGTTGGGAGTCTGGTTGTAGGCAGGCCCAGGCATACCAGCCATTTCGAGCTGGCCGGTGTTAGGCATTGGTATCCGTGGGAGATGATGCCCTTGAGCTTGAGGTGGATAGGGCCCGGCAAAAGTAGTGGGCGCCGCAGATAAGTAAGCTGTCTGCCCAGAGCCAGTATGACGTACGGACTGGTGGCCATGTCGCCTGCCGGCTGCTCCACTTCCCCCGCTGCTTCCAGAGTTTCCTCCCGCAGCCCTATTTGTGCCATATATAATAGAAGTGGTAGATCAGTCTGGATGAGGACATAAATAATACCGGCTACTTAGGGTTAATGGGCCATGGCATGGTTTTAGAACTAGAATTACTCATATACAAGGGAATTCAAAGCGACTAAAAGGTACCTGGGAGAGGCTGTAGAATCACTATTTAGTTAGTAAATAGCTCATTTGTTAATGAAGCGATTTTGGTCATTTCTAAGTAACAAGGATGATGGATTAAATAGTCCTATCAGCATGATAAAGCACGTTAGCATTAACTGAACCAGAAATGAAAATCATTAAGAGGAAGTTTTAAGAACTAAGTTTTGCTACCAAGCCTACCTCTAGGTGGGGTTTTTCGATGAGGGTTAGAGGAACTGTGAAGTAGATAAAAGATCATTGAGATTATATTTTTTTAAAGTTTGACATGCAAACAACATAGGAACTAACCTAAGAGGCATAGTAAACATATTTTCCACTGATTGATATCCTCGAACTGTGCATGACTTCAAGCAGATTTATTGGGTAGTGCAATATAATCCTAATAGACATAAAATGTTACCAACTGAAACAAACTAACCATTATTGACAGCGAGACAATGATCATTGCATGTCAAATAACCATCACATCGGATACTAATGTGAATTATATACAGACAGGCTTAGTGAGTATCCTCATCGCAAGCACTTTTCCAGCATTAACCGCCAGTTATATGACAGTTGATAGTATGTATGTGTAGCCATGCCGGCTTTGGCCACATTCCGCATTCACAAGCTGATATTCAAATAATTGCCAATCGACAATCCAGGTTACTTAATCAAGGCATAAATTCCATGGCAATCTTGACAGTGCCAAATCTTAAGTAGCCACTATAAGAAGTAATCGCAACCTCGTAGCTTTTCGGGGTATATAGTGGGGTTGTAGCAAAACATTGCTCGAACATGCCAACATCATGCAGTAGCATAGTCAAGCAAGATGGACAATTGTGTAACAGCAGCTAAGTAACAAGAAACTCGAGATGTGAAGTTTTGGAATATAAAATGCGAACCACTGAAAAGTGATGTCCCTCTGAGAAACTCTGAAGCGTCAAGAGCGAGAATGATACTTATTTGTGATACTATTCCACTCAGCGCATCCTAGCTTCATACCACAAAATTTAAGAATACAAAACAAGCGTGATTTGATTCGTTACAAATTGAATAGTAACGAATAGATAAAGCCGAGGGGGCATTAGCAGTACTATCCTTATATTAAGGTAATGTCTAGGCTGTCAGCGAGTACACATTCGGAGATCATCTGGCTCGATGAAGAACAACCAGACTGCTTTAGGAAGTGGACAGGTTTATAGATTCAAATGGCGTCCTGGCGCAGTTAAGACGGTGCAACACTGCGGATGTGCGTAAATAGGTTGTCTAAGCACTTGCCGATCAATCTAATGAGAGGTTATTTTGAAATTTCATTTACATTTATATAAAGAGAAAATTAAAATTATTTTGAACAATACGAATGGGTAAGACAAATTAAAGTACTATTCCGCAAACCTTGAGATATTTGAAGATAGATTCTAAAACATTGGTCAAAATTTATTTAAGGAA